GGATTCAACCAACTACAGATTAAAAATATTCAAGGGAAAACTACACTGGATACAAATGCACATGTGCTGCCTGCATTGCCATGGGATTGCCTGTGCCCCCCCAAGACTGATGGCGAGGAGGCCACGAGCAGATGCAGCCCTAGCCAGACCTCGTACCTCCCGAACCCTGCTGCAGCCACCTCTCGCCTCAGTGCTACTCCAGCTTACTGAGCGACAGCTAACGGGCAATAGGGATGGTAAGAGAGAAGTTTTCTGTACAGTGGCGCACTCCAAGCTGACTGCCTACAAATTGGCCAGCAGGAGAAGGAACCTTATATGACAGGCCTGGTACTGTGACACTTCTTGAAGTCAGACATTGTCAGAAGTCCACTGAACTATTTAGCAAATGCCTCCTCCAGTACCTAGCATGGGAATTTGTGGTTTTTTCTGTTTGTTTTGTTTTTTTTTCCGGTACCAGGAATCGAACTCACAAATCGCGCTTGCCAGGCAGGCGCTGTGCCGCTGAGCTCAATCCCCAGCCCCTAGCATGGGAATTTGTGTAGAACTTTAACACTGATCTTCAAGCTTCTAGAGGGCAGCTATCAGTATCAGTAGTTTGCAGTGTTACATCAAGCTAAATTGTCCTGAGAGGGCCTTTGTGTACACACACACGTAAACATACACACACATACTGTATCTGTATTGAATATGTACAGACTTTTTTCTTGTCATTATTCTCTAAACGATGCAGTAGAACAAGTATTTACCTTGTACTATTACAAGTCATCTAGAGTGAAAGTAGATGGGAGGATGTATGCAGGATATTTACTATGCCATTTGAGATAAAAGGAGTTTAGTACCTTCAGATTTTACTTCCAAGGAGTGTCCTAGAACCAGCGTCCCGCAGATACCAAAGCCTGACTGTGCTAATGTAGAGGAAACAGCACAGTTGCCCTTTGTGGGTTTACACATATAATCTAGCCCTGTCCGTCCATGTAAATGAACTTCATTTCTTATACTTCATACTAGTCCTTACTCTGAAAAGAAATAAAATTGAAGGCGAAGGAAAGCAACACTCAGAACAGTGGTGAAATATTGTCTATGTCATTTGAAAATACAAATCAGGAGCTATAGAAACTAGAATAGGGAAAAGCCACAAATGCATTATTCATTTATTCATTGTTATGTTACTGGTGGGAGTAAAGCTTTGGAGGCAATTAATTACCTATAATGAGGATAAATGATTAAAACCCTATTCTATAAAGTAGTGTGTATTTTTAAAAATACAGTAATGAGCATAAAGATTATTTAGCAACATGGAAAATGCTTAAAATGTTATGTTTATGAGAAAAGAGCCGAACATGATACATCACCCAGATAGAGAAAATGGAAAGGAAATATAGCAAATGTTAACAGCTGTGTTTGGGCAATGGGATCATTAGTATTTTTTTTCTTCCTTTTCTCTCCTGATATTCTAATCAGTTTCCAAAAACCAATCAAAAGCACCCAAATTAAAAAGTCAATATTTAAAGGCAGGAAGAATGAATTTGGGTTGTTTTGAAATTAGCTGTCTTTCCTGCACATAGCTGCATGAGGGACTTTACACGGGTCGAAAAATCTCAACTATTGCAGTTTGTGGGAAGGCTGCATTTATTCTGAGAGTGACTGGAGTGGCCAGAAAACCAGTAGAATAATAGCAGGAGAAACTAGACCCTCCCATCCCCAGCTGCCAGTAATTCAACATAGGGCTTCAAGAAACAATTTTAGTCCTTTCGCTGGGGCTTGGCTCTGGAGACCTCCTCCCCCAGGCTATTGTAATGGTGATGGCCTGGTCCCCTAACAGCTCCCAGAGGACTGGGCACTTAATGGCAGAGCCCTGGCAGCTGTCTGGCTTGGGGTTGCTGGTCATCAGAGACTTGAAGCCCGTGCAATGTTGACCCAGAGGTGAATAGTCCTTTCTCTTACCCACTCTCCAGAGGCAACGAGGCCTCATTAGGGTACAGTTTCTAATCCAAACAACCATTAATCTTTCCCAGGGTTAAAAGGCCAGAAAAGCAATTTCTGCGTGCGCTCTGTCTCTATTTTGATACTGTACTTGTCTGTATTTTACAAGAGCAGACTTATTTCATTGACCATTTGAAAACACCCCACAGCTGTGTCCACAGCCGCACAAACAATGGCAAGCCCAAACAGAGGAGCAACAGGAGCACAAAAACAAGTCAGCTATTGAGGCGCTTGACAATAAATCATAAAAGCATGGCTCACTTGGAACAAACTGGTGTTTTATATCATGAAATAAAATACATGTCTATGTATTTTAAGCGAAAATGCTGCTATATAATAGTTTTATGAAAGTAGTCATATAGAGACTTCTGAATGTCTTACTTTCAATGTTCCTTGCCGTGGCAGGTAAATTAATCCATGTAAGTGCTGAGACTCTAGAGTTTTTAAAAAAGGAAACCGACAGAAAACTAAGATTTGAAATTTGAAACACATACTTAATTATTGTCTCTGCAATATGACAATGGTTTATAGAAATGGGTCTAATCGCCTATAGCACACTTTAAAAATAGCTGGTAAGTCACAAAATGTATCTTGACCATATTTTCAAAATGTAAAGACCAAAATCATGGCGTCAAGATAAAACATATTAAGGCTTCTTAAATCTGTTTCTTCATACTTGCCCTTTAAATTCTTCCTCTACAGAGCCATCGTCAATAGGAACACCAAACACTTCTTCTGGTGAGTCACATTCAGACATCTGGCTACTGTTAGGCAAGGCATCAAACAGAGAGACAAATTTAATTTTTATCTCTCAAATTATTTTACATTAATTTCCCTCAATTCAAAACCTCACGTTAATGGGTGGGTAACACATCAGCTCTGGTCATGGCATTTTCAAGCTGGTAGAGGCTTTGGTTAAGTGAAGTAAGACTCACATAAGACTGGGACAAACCCCAGGGCCCTTGGTCCCTAGTCTAATGCATGCCTAACATGTCATATTATACTGCAAAATATAGAGCTGGCTCTTCCACATCTGTTATTCAACCAACTACAGACTGGAAATACTGGAGACAAAGATTTTTAGAAAGTTCCGTACAGTAAAACTTGAATTTGCTGTGCACTGTGTCAGATCACGTGAATGAGGTGGTGGAGGCCCACTTTGCTGCAGCCTCCTGCTATTCCACAGAGCCGCATCTTTCTCTAGCACGGGTGCTCTGGGCACTTCTTGCTTTGAGTCTTGCTTGCATACTAGTATTTAGGCTAGAATTTTTTTCTTGTCTTTGTTCCAGAAAAATACAGCATCACCAATATGTAGCATTTGCATTGTGTTAGGTACTATAAGTAATCTAGAAATGATTTACATTAGATGGGTGGATGTCTATAAATATACATGAGACTTGAGAAATATATATGAATATATGGATATATATGTATGAAGCCTTTGCTATGCCAAAGTCTTTTGAAAGATTCATTAAAAACTTTTACTGAAATTTCCTGAAGGGTCTCAGATTGGCAGAGTTTATTTTTCTTTCTCATTTACACTTGGCTTTTGCTTTCACACTCCATAATTCTCCTGAAAAGCTGGAAGGAATTTTAGCTAGATGTGCTCTGCAAGGTGTAGCTGAAATTCTGTGGGTATGGTCTTAGGCCCTGGTATAAACAGTTTCAATGCTTCACAGGTATTTATGATTATTATTATCGTTATTACTATTGGTGCTGGGAATTAAAATGCTTGTGGTGAACAGTCAGCGAGCATGCATTTTACACCCGAGCTACATTCCTAGCCCAGGTTTTTCTGTTTTTTCTTTTTGGCTTTTTTTTCCCTGTAGGAATTAATTTACCTTAACAATGCCACTTCTAAGTAAAAAATGTACTTACTGCAAGAACATGTACAAAATATTTCACAGTAGTTATCTTTCTGATGGTGCAAAATGAACAATTATTTTGTCTTTGTACTGTATTAGCAGTTTTTGGTTTTGAAGATATTTTACATTTGTAATTTGAGAAGACCTCCAATAAACATTATTTTGAAATCTCAACAAAATTAAAAAAAAAAAACAGAGAGCGCCTGGAGGCAGTCAAATGGTACAGTATCACTGGTCCTGTCTTTAAAAAAAAAATCCCGATGAATTATAGGTGCATTACCCATTTATAAGATGAAAATTTCAATTAAATACATGAGAAAATGAGCTCTACCCTGCCAAACCTTGAGCAGGTAAATCTCAGTGTGGTAATCTTTTTTAAATTTTTACTTAAAAAATATTTTTTTTTTAGTGTGGTAATCTTTCTGTGAAAAAATAAGCCATGAGATTTACGTAGTCTGGGAATATCAGGGAGGAAGATTATTATGGTACTTGGATCCTGCTTGGTTTTGAATTGACTTACTCTGAGTGCTAGATACATTTTTCCAAAGAGATTTATTTATCATGTAGAATGTTGGTGTTTTTCTCAAGAGAATAATTTATTCATTATGGGATTGGTCTTGAATATTTTACCCCTTTGGATTTGATTTTACCTTCTGAATATTAGCTACTAGTATTTTTATAAAATTAGATGAGTCTGACATGAAATATTAAAATGATATTTTCCTTCTCCTTCTATTATTTTTTTCTCTTGTGGTGCTGGGATTGAAGTCAGGGCCTTGCATCTACTAGGCACGTGCTCCACACCAAGCTATATTCCCAACCCCTCTGCCTTTTAAAAAGGAACAAATAGCTTGTTCTAACCAGTCCAAATGATACACATTTACAAAATATAAAGTAAAAGTACAAAATTCAAAGTGAACATTTTCTCTTAACTCTACAAACTCCAAATTCTATCTCTCCAGTGATAACTTTTAATATTTTGATGGGCACCTTTCTTTTCTATATGTAGACATATATGTATATATAGGAGAAAAAGTAAAAATCAGACCATATTAACATACAATTTTCTGCAACATTTTTGGCCAACATCCATTATACAATTGATGTATTTCCAACACTTATTTCATCTTTACTAATGACACCACAGTAAGCCACTGTTTAATATATTCTCATTTATTTATCCAAATACTATTACTGAATATTTAGGTTGTTTTGATTTTTATTATTTGAAAAAGTTCTGCCAGAAACTCCTTGTCATGTTTCTTTACATACTTATGCTAGTACTTCTGTAAGATAAATTTCCAGACATGCAGTTATTGGGTGTAGAATATGAACATTCACGTATTTGACGGATACTAGGTTTTTGCCCATTTGATACACACGGAGCAGAGGCAGTGTATTCTGTGGGATCTGGTGGAGGAACACCGGCCCCTGGCATCTGGCCCATGGGTCTGACATAGTGGGCATTTGTCTGGCCCATTTTATGGAAATAACTTGACTCAGAACACCAGGGAAACTCTTACAGGCTAAATCTGTATCTCACCCAAACTAGTAACAGGAAAGTTGTGTGTGGAGGTTTGAACAGACAGAGCTCTAGCCAGATCACCTTTTTCCTCAGAATTACAAAGGCCAATGGTAATTATTTCAGTTAAAACGGCAATTAATACAATTTCATTGAAGCTTCAAACAGCGCAGACAGATCCTCTTCTGACTGGGGGCGGGGCGCAAGCTTGGTGACCCGCTCCTGAAACAGTAAAAAAATGTCATTACCCAGAGCTTGCAAAAAACTGTTTGTAAAAGGTAGTAGGTAGGGGCTGGGGATTTAGCTCAGCGGCAAAGCGCCTGCCTGGCAAGCGCAAGGTCGTGAGTTCGGTTCCCGGCAACAGTAAAAAAAAAAAAAAAAAAAAAAAAAAAAAAAAAAAAATGTAACAACAACTTGACAATGGCCATATCTTTAAAAATCGTATTTCTTGTATGCTTTGTGTTACCTAATTCCAAACTCCGAGGTTTATCAAGTAGTGTCTCTTTCCCATGAAGCTTTCAAAAGTCATTGCCTCGGACCTCCTCGCTGACAATATCCTTCTGACCAATAGACAGAACCGAATCAGCTGCTGGGAAAATGCCTTCAACAGCCTCTGTCCGTTCTGAGCGCAGACAGCCCGCCTCCAGGCAGTGAGCATAAGGAAAACGCAACTGACTGTCCTGACACCCAAGAGCATTTTTGCAGCTTAAGGTGTATTTGAAAGGACTTCTGTAGACATGAGCTATCAAGCTACATGAAGCAACCTCCCCTCCCATTAACCAAGGCTTTATTTCTTCCTACTTAGTAGAAACAAGGTCAGTGATTGGCTTAATTTCTTCAAAATTGCTGAGTCAAGTCAGTGAAGACAGCCCGCACATCCCATGGCTATTTATCCAGCGGCTCTCATCCTTCTGGGGCAGGGGGCTAGAAGACCTGAAGGTCGCGCGGTAGCCTAATCAAGAAGGTGCCGTTCCGGGGGCGGCACTTTCCCAGGCATGCTTGCAGTGTGCCTGGTAAACAGGGAGAGTCAGGAGGACAGAATTAGAGTGCTTGGCGCACAGTACATATGTGCTTGCCGCTTAGCTGCTGAGTTAATGAAGGGGCCGGGCAGGGAGACACCGGTATCTCAAGGTCACACGTACAAATGGAACTCTGACTCTGCCCGCTCCTCTCGTTTTCAGGTCAGAAACGACCCCAGGAGCTCAGACAAAAATCTAGGGCTACTCTCGAGTTCCCTGTCCCCCATTCTGCAAGTCCAACCCATCAGCAAGTCTGCCAGACCCTCCTCCAAAGTGAGTTCCTCATCCCCGCTCTTCTCACCTCTGCTTGCTCCGCCACCCTGCGCCGGTGTCTGAGATACCCTCCAAACCCTGCTTCCCGCATTGCCTGTTTCGGCTTTTGCTCCGCTCTCGCCCTCTAGAGGTCGGCAGCAACCCCGCTGCCCCGCAGAAATCTGCTCACTCCGGGCTTGGGCTCCCGGATCTTGTATTACAGTTAGAACAAAATCAAGACCTCTGCCGCCGCCCTGATCCGGCCCTGCTTTCCGCCGCAGCTCTCTTCTCTCATCCCATTCGGTTCCACCGTCTCTTTCAAATTTTATGCCTTTCCCCTCTGCGCACCCTGGAAGCCTCGCCCGTCCTTCACACGGTACCACGTCCAGGCAGAGGACTTCTCCCTAAAGACTTTCCCGGAGCGCTTTCCGCGGCTGTCCCAGGATTATTCTCTGTCTCAGTGCCCAGATTCTTCTTCATGCTATTAATCATTACCTGCAACGATTTCATTTGTCTTTTTATTTTTATTTTTTTGGCACGGGGAATCGATCTCACGACCTCGCAGTTGCCAGGCAGGCGCTTGTGCCACTGAGCTATATCTGCGGTCCTCACTTGTCTTTTTAAAAATAGATGTTTATTGTCCATCTCCTTTCACTAGAACCAAGGTTCCAAAAGAGAGGAAAGGGTTTTTTTTTTGTTTTTTTTTTTTTTTTTTTCTCCACAGTACATCTCATACAATGGTGTCTGGTAAATCTCAATTAGAATCAGTAAGGTAAGCCGGGTGTGGTGGGGCCTATTATCCCAACACTCTGGAAGCTGAGGCAGGAGGATCACAGTGAGCTTGAGGCCAGCTTAGGCTAGTGAATTCAAGACCATCCTGAAGTGCATAGCGAGACCCTATCTCAAACAACAATAACAACAAATAAATAAGAATAAAATAAATAAATAAAATTAAAAAAAAGAATCTGTCAAGTAAAAAGAAGAATGAGATGAAGGACACATTAAAAAAAACTAACTCAAAAAAGATGAAGCCCTAAGTATAAGAGTATTAAGTCCTAAAACTCTTAAATGAACACATGGGGAAAATCTTCATGTCACTGAACTGACAATGTCATTATTATCATTCCTGATAATAATAACACCAAAAGCACAGGTAGGAAGGGAACAGACAACCTGGGCTAGATCAAAATTAAAGATTTTTATGCACCAAAAGACAATAGCAAGAGAATGAAAACAACTCACATAATGGGATATGTGCAAATCATATACCTGGTAGGAGATTAATAGCCATAATATGAAAATTATTTGTACAATTCAACAACAATAACAACAACAAACTCCAAATAACTCAGAGCAAAGGATTTGAATAGCTATTTCTCCAAAGAAAATTTATAAATAGCCAAGAAGTACATGACAAGACATTCAATATTATTACTCATTGGGAAAATGCAAATCAAAGCCTCAACTAGATGTCACTTCACATCCCATTAGGAGAGCTATTATTAAAAAATGGAAATTGGAGCCTTGTGCATTAATGGAACTGTAAAATGGTACAGTCACTATGGAAAAAGTTTACCAGCTCCTCAAAATATTAAGCATAGAATTACCATCTGATCTAACATTTCCATTACCATACGATCTAACATTTCCATTACCATACGCTCTAACATTAAAAACAGGGAATCAAAAAAAAAATGCTTGCATGCCAATGTTCATAGCACAATTATTCTTAATAGTCAAAAGATAGAAACAATCCAAGGGGCCACTAACATATAAATGAATAAGCAAAGTGTAGTGTGTCCATACAATAAAACTCTGTTCAGCCATAAATGGGAATGTGACTCCAACACTACTACAGTAGGGATAAACACTGAAGACATTATTGTAAGTAAAATAAACCAGTCACAAAAGGACAGTTACTGTGATTCCACTTATATGAGGTACCTAGGACTGGCAAGTTCAGAGACAGAAAGTAGAATAGAGGTTACCCGGGGCTATCAGGATAACCAAGAGAAGGGCAGAATGGGGAGTTAAAGTGGAGCTCTTTGGGATGATTTTACAAAATTCTGGAAATGGGTAGTGGTGACAGCTGTATGACACTGTGAATATATTTACTAGCACTAGATTGTACACATAAAAATAGTTAAAATGATAAATCTTATGTTGTATATATTTTACTATAATTAACAAATTAACTAAACTACGTATGGTGGCACATCCATGTTGTCCCAGTTACTCGGGAGGCTGAGACAGGAGGATGGCTTGAGCCCAGGAGGTCAAGAACAGGCTGGGCAACACAGTAAGGCTCAAAGTCTCAGCAAGTAAATAAGCAAGTAAAACACTAAGGATGGATAGATGCCCATTTAGGAGATGGCAGGGGACTGTACCAATGAATATGGTGAGGCAAAGGTAAATAAGATGTCCCAGCAGATTCTTTACAAAATCCCTTCCGACCTTTGAAAATCCATAGCAGGGCAGAGAGACCTGATCATGGTCACACACACACAGACACGCACATATTTGTGGAAAGGTCACGAGCATGGCCACAGGTGATGATAATGATCTTTACGCCGTTCTCTTCTAATGAGAAGGAGTCTTATCTGATTGGCTCAAGGGCCCTTGACCTGATCCTGTTTATCCCTGGTGATGCAGTTCAGGACTCTCAGAAGTACCTGAGGCCAAACCTGAGATGAGTTTCTCTTTCACTTTTCAAACCCCCAGTGACTGATTAAAGAGGTTAAATTTGTGATATTTAGCTAGCCGTGTCACAGAAAAGCTAAACTCTCAGAATGAAGACCTGTTAAGTAATGTGCTATTATTTATAGACATGTAAAACCAAAGAAAACTGATTAACATGAGCGTTGAAATAAATTCAGACTTCTACTTTTAGCACATTCATAAAATAACAACGTTTCAGCTGGCCTGTCTACCAGGGAGTGGAAGTGCTCATTTGGGTAGACGGCTCTGCTCAGTAATGAAATGTTTTGACTTGGAATGTAAATGTTTCTTTCCAGAGGTTTCAGAAATCCAGTTCGGAAGATTAATTTATTCTTGCCCCTTCCCCTTACGGCCTGGCTATGGCAGTTGGAAGTCTCGGTACACAGAAGTGCTATTTGTTGTCAGCAGTATGGGCTGTGGTGTTTGGTCAAGAATACTGGCCTGGTTGTTTCTTCCAGAGAAAACCGATTCCTGGTAGCTGCACATAAAAGAACCTTTCTCAAACATTAACTGTACGAAATAACCTTTCTAGCAATGTTCTCTGCAGAAACCAATGTATCCTTCTCACTACCGTAGGTCCCGGAATGTTAATAACTGAAGATTAGTCACCCATATGTGTAAAATTCTGAAATTGCCATGGCATTCCTGCAAAATATTCACTGCTGCCAAAAAACAAAACAAAAACCCCTATAGTAGTTCTTCAACTACAGAATAGAGAAGCGTATTTCTAAGCTTGCCCCCAAGGACCTAGGAATCTATGAATATACATATCTCAGTCACATCAACTTCAAAATAGAGCTAGTCCTGGTTAATAAAATTAACTATGTTTTTCTTAACCATGAACACATGGCCAAAGGGAAAAAGTGTATGCCTTGGGACACTTCATGAATAAGGCCTGAGGAAAATGTGGGTTCCTACTTTATGACATGATTTAATGTTCAAAAGTTTGCCTCTACTTCTCATCGTTTTTGAAACTAGGAAATTTATTTTGTCTAATTAAGGTTTTGCTCCTGTGATTTTCCACCATGACATGTACGTGGAGGTATTCAGAATGATACTTAATTAACTTGCTATTTTAGTGGATGGTCTCTAATATTAGTTTGGATTTCTCCTTTTTGGAATAGAGTTTGAAAGTGAACATTTGAGCACAGCAGAACTAGAACAGTAAACATTTGCCAGTGTGTGCTGATAGCTGGGTCATGCATGGCACACCACCAGCAATTAAATGACTAAGAATATCATACAGTTTCTTCTGAAAATCATGGATGCCGTTCTTGGAAGGTGACAAATATATACTCCTGAGCATTTTTCCTTGGATTTATGAGCAGACTTTTCAGAGGGCTCTTTGCCGAATGGATAGTATCACTGAAACTATGGTGTAAAGCCAGAAGCCAAATTAAAACTGTGGTGACCACAGGTCTGTGGTGTTTCTGGACGGGCTTTATAGGTCCTCCATCTCTGGGTGGTTCTAGTTGTCTAAGGAACAATCTTGAAAAATTTTCACCATCCTGTCATTAGGCTCACATGGACAGAGGATTTAGGTGGAGAGGGCTGCAAATACGTGTTGATGTAACATACTTACTAGCCTGTACTGAGTGCAGGAGAGGATGGGTGAGCAAAGCAAAGTCTTGCCCACATAGAACTCATACTCTCGTAGGTCTGGATAAAATAAATGATAGGGTTTTTTTCTCTTTAGTCTCTTGGACTTAAGGATTAAAATAAAGGTTTGTGGTAGATGCAGGGGCTATGCCGTACTCTGAGACTCTTCTGTTTCTCATTCCTTTATATTTTTAGATGCAACTGGATTCACTGGGCCTAAATCTAAATCAAGAAAATGGGTGGTGCATGGGGCACATTTTATTTGTACGTTGGGTAACTGGGCAAATTCAACAGAAGCATCTAAATTGCTAATTTTTCTTAAAAGATGGTCATTCTACCTATAGGAAGAACTGAATTTCTCTTTGGTGATAAGAAATTTAGATGAATAGCTGCTCATGCAATTAGATGGGTCACGTGCTTCCTAGTTCACCGAGCTCCCCGCCACGTGCTGTTGCTGTCTATATTTTTAAATTTAAAAATTTTTAAATTCAAAAATTTTTTTTATTGCTGTCTATATTTTTAAATTTAAAAATTTTTATTGTAATAAAAATTACATTCATCATGGGGAGTTGGTTCAGGTACATAACACATCTTGACCACTTAACAGTTTACCCCAAGCGTCACTCAGGCAGCACACTTGTTTAGGTACTGCCTGTCCAAGCATCACTCTGGCAGTTTCGATTCTTGTATTGAATAAATGTGATTTTTTTTGGTTTTTCTCTGGTACCGGGAACCGAACTCACGACCTTGCACATGCCAGGCAGGCGCTTTTGCCGCTGAGCTAAATTCCCAGCCCCTAAATGTGATTCTTGTATTGAATAAATTCTTGTATTGTTGATTCTTGTATTGAATAAATGTGATAAAATTGTCATTTTTATATTTCCTGTTATATCATCTTATAAAAATTATCAAAAATGTGCAACTTTTGGTCCTCCTGTATTTAATAATTGGACCAGTGAGTAGCTAGTTCGTTTTATTTCCTCCTGCCCTCCCTTCCCTCCTATTGTCTTACTGTATTGTTCACTGCTACTGCCTACTTGGATCCTGTGGGTACAGAAGCCCGTGAACCCAATCTACACAAACATTATCTTAGGTGGTGGGTGAGGCTGTCAACATTCTAAACACTGATGAAATGAGGAAGAAGCAGCTTGTTAGATGCCCTTGGTTATGTGGAGTGGGGTGAGGAAAAAGTACTGCTATTTGTGGTCAGCAGAATGCTGTGTGAGTAGATATTATAGCTGCTAGCTATATCAAGGAGACAGCCATGGATGCCTTAACTTTGGGAAGAGGGGCCCCGTAATGCTGAAGTGGTCCTCACCTTCCCCATACTGACCAAGCGGGCTAAAGGGGCATCCTGGCTGTGGTGACTGTGGTGTGGTCCAGCAAGCAGTACTTATGGTGCTGAACCATGGTGAAGTGCGAGGAACTGGATCTGAACCTTTAGGATCTGACACACTGGCTCAACAGATCCACAGAGCCTTCCTTCACGGGTGAGGAGACTTGACAACTGTTGTGATTCTACCAAGTTAATTAAGCATAGCAGCACATTCAACTTACACTCTTTAGCAACATTAAATGAAAGAAGACCCAGAGGGACACATATATAAAATATCCAATGTCCCAAATTCATTCGAAAGCAATTTTAATAATTTTAATTTAAAGACTATGCCTGTTCGCCGCAAAATAGTAGGAACTTATAATTCTCTGTAATGGAAAATACTATTAGTGGTCTTTTTGGAATAGCTTTGCAGGGCTTTATAGGGGACCTTTAAAAGAGCAGAAATGGGGAAAAGGGAAATTTGACATAGTTTAAGATCAGTTGGGTTCTTTTTGTCTTTAATTCTCATAAAGAATCCTTTCATTGCTTCCATAACAGCTTCACTTCAACCACAGTTTTATGGAAAGACATAAAGCCAAAGGAGCCTGGGCCCATTTCTCCCAGGAAGAGAACTACTGTGTGATGTGGAAGAGACTAGAGGACCCCTGGGGTTTCATTCTCTCTAACACACCCCCCGTGGAAATTCTGTGCTTCTTAGCGGGCGTGAGGACTGCTCTGCACCTCTTACCTGGGGTAGTGTTCCTTTCACTAATGCGGGGATGTCTGCCTTGGAGTAGCCAATGGCAGCCAGGCCATCGTCAACGTTTAGATCAAATAGGAATTTCCGGAGCGTGTCTGCCAACACAGGCCCAGCATCTTGGATCTTGGTAGTGCGGGTGTCAGCTCCTAGAAGACATAAAGTATAATATATATATATATCAGAGAGAGAGAGACAGACAGACAGACAGAAAGAGGGAAAAGATGCAGGCTCTGGGTGTCGTTCAGGATCAGCACATACACAATGCGTACTCACTGCCATCTTCAAATGCCAAGTATGAGGCCACCACGGTGCCTCCCCTGCACCATCCTGTCACCATCCTGGCCTAATGGTCCATGGTGAGCTCCATAGAAGACCGCAGAGAAGACACTTCAGCAAGGTCAGACTGAGGAACCAAGAGCTTCCACAAGAGAAGCTGGCTGGGCCAGTTAACTTTTCCCACATTTCCAAGAGACTTCTACTTCCTATCTGGTCACCCCTTGTGTGGCAGTGAAGAGGAACAAGAAGCGGGGGAAGAGGAGGAGGACGAGGAGGAGGAGCAGGAGGAGCAGGAGGAAGACCAAAAAAAGAGGTGCAGACAGGAGATCAGGAAAGAAGGCTGGTGTTGGGATGAGGAGGAAGGAGCTTCTGTAAGAGAAACCCAGCTATGTTATTTTCAAGCCTTGGAATTTGCTGACATCTAGAGGTGCGCACGTACAACGTCTTTTCTCACAGTAACATTTTAGAAAAAGATAAGCCCTTTGCAAACACCTTGTGAGACCAGGTTAAAGAACTCCCACTTTATAACCAAAAAGAAAGAAAGAAAGTATGGCCAAGAAATGGTCTATGTGTGACCAGAGAAGGAAATATTTCCTCCTTCTACCTATAAAGTTTTATTTTGTACTGTTGCCCTAGGCAGAGAAGGTGCCTTTCAATAAATATTACAATGCCAAGATGCCAAGACTTTCAGCAAACAGTGTTTCATGTGTAGATAACAACGATAAAGGTGAAGAGAGATGAAAGTTGCCATGGTTTAGAGATTTTTAAGGCAGAATATTGATGTAATAATTAATACATATAATCATGGACATGTCAATCTGGAAGAGTCATTGAGTTCTGTCCACAGGCAGAAAATCCCCAGAAGAAAGGAGCTTATTTCCCAACTCCCAGCACCCACCTTATTCCCCATTTATGTGAGGGGACACCTTCATGTCAAGAAGCAAAGCATTCTGCAAACGGAATGCACTGTATGAAGTCTTCTCAAAATGCCACCAGACAAGAACTGAACACACAGGTCCCCTCCATCCTCGGGCACTTGTTTAAATTGGTTTTAAGCTTTCCTTTCTATGACAGTGAGAACTGTTTCAGTAATCCAGGAGAAACAGTATAAAGAGAACCAGATAGAAGGCCAGCTGGAGAGCAGCTGGATGAAGGTAAACCTTGCCTGACGAGTCTATGTTGCCCAGCACCAGGAAAAATATGTATTAGATGGGAAGATGACACAAAAATATAGGGTTTATGATGTTTTAATGATCCTGGGATGGCTGCCATAAAACACACCATCAGAACCTCTAGGTTTTCCTATGAAGTATTTGTAGGAAAAAAAAAAAGATAGGGAAGAGAACTTATTGGCCCAAAGCTAAGAAAATCTAAGCTTACACAGAGAATTAAAATACTGTATTTAATGATGAAATATGACATAACATTAACATTTCCTACACATGGAAAGAATTGGTTGATTCTTCCAGCTTGGATTTTCTCTAACAGAAGAACTGCTTTCTTAGGAATGTCGATGGCTGCCTGGAATGCAGACTTTATGGAAGTTATATACGATTTTTCCCCCATTTTCCATAACGTAGTCCAAGATTTGCCCCTCCCATCCCCATTTACATAGTGTGCATATTTACAATGGCAACTGCATCCCAAAATAAGGCTGAAGGACATCTCCCCCTCCAAAAGGAAAAAGGGGCACAAGATCCTAGCTGCAGTAAGCGGCAGCAAACGCTGGGAACTCAAGTTGAGCTCGTTCGCTGCTGAACTCCGACATTAGCATTCCAGGCCCAGCACCTGGACCAGGCGCGCTGTTGCGCAAATAGCGGGCAGGAAGGCAAAGCCGAAGAGAATCAGTGCGGACAGGGCTGTGGCCATCCCTACCTCCTCGGAAATATCCTCTCCAACCACGGGAGCTAGAAGAGCATAATAGTTTTCTTTTGAGGCTTTCCCTTCGTACCCTGAGCACAGTTAGGGAATAAGATGTTTTGCAAATTAATTAAATATCCAAGTCTACTCAAAAAAAATTCTCATTTCAGAGAAACACCAACATTTTACCTCCCACTACAGCTACCTGGAAGGTAATTTTATTTCTGGGAAGACTCAAAAGGCACTGCATCTTACTATAGGCAGTATTTATTTTACAGTATGGCAGACAGGGTGCTCATTTGGGATATTTTTTAAAAATAAAAATTCTTGTTCAGATTCTCTATGGCTGTGAATTTACTTTTTCTGCCTGAATACATTAACAGTATACACGGAGTTATAATTTCTTTGGAGATACAAGCAGAGAAAATAGTATTGCCAAAAATTTAATAGAATCAACATTTGGTTCTGTTTCATTAACTGACTCTTAAAAACATACAATTACGGTATTTTAGAATTAGCTAGGGCTTTGGGCAATTCACTGACATGTTATCATTGGGTTACCCACAGGAACATTTTTTGGTAATAATCCTTATGGTTATTTTCAGGAAACAATCATAGCAAACACTCCACCTGTGTGAGTCACAGATTTCCAAGTAATGATTCATACCCAGTATTTCTGCTGTCTCCAGGTGTCGTTCTGGAAACATCTTTGCTGTGAATGTGAACACCGCTGGGGATGTGAGCACCACAGAAAGGCCATGGGGCTGGGGAGAGAAACATAGCAAAGCTGGTTTTCCTCCTGAATACTGTGATATTACTTCATCCTATAGTCAGCTAGTCTAAAAAAAATTTTTTTTTTGAGACAGGGTCTTGCTGTGCAGTTCCGGCTGGCCCTGAATTTGCTATGTCACCAAGGCTAGCCTAGAACTCACAGTGATTCTCCTGCCTCAGCCCCCGAGTGCTAGGATTACAGGAATGAACTGCCATGCCTGGCACAAAAATTAGCAACTGTGGGCTGGGGCTGTAATTCAGTGGTAGAGTATTTGCCTAATGTATATAAGGCTCTGGGTTTGATTCCCAGCACTGGGGGTAAAAACTGACAAATGTACCTATGGAAATTACGAGGTATATAAGATTTAATTAATATATGTATATTTTTTTACCACTAGTGGGTGATCCACATTGTAGTCCTTTGCTTTATACGTTTTCACTAATCCTGAAATTGGGTAAGACATCCCATGGCTAGAAGAGAAAAAAATATTTTTTGTTGACATACAGACATCAGAATTCAAATCAATAACACAAAGATACCATTTATGGGAGAGACCTTCACAGTCTCGGGACAGTACCTCAAGGAGTTACGTGTTCTGTTTTCTTGGATATAAGGATATTCACACTATGATGCACTTCAAGTTGAGTGTATTCACTAATAAGAGCTCTAAAATGTTCAAATTCAAATGATCATAGAACTATATGCTATTCAGTGACATGTAAGCTGCACTTGTAAGTGATCTGTAATTACCACCAGGAATTGATACATCTTTTCAAATGTTATATATGAATGGTATTTGAATCATAATAAATTATTCTAGCCCGAAATCCTATAGTAATCCATTCTAGTTTAACTGATTTTCCTGAATTCTACCTTAAGCATTTATTTAGATCTAGTTGTCCTCAAGAAAAGACATAATGGTTTTTGTTTTTATTTTTTTAATTCATTAATTAAAAATGAGACAAAGTCTTGCTATGTAGTTCAGGCTGGATTTATACTTGGACTTGTGGTGATCCTCCTGCCCCAGGCTCCTGAGTTGCTGGGATTATAGGTGTGTGCCACCAGGCCCGATGGTTTTTGTTTTTATTGAAAAAATCTTTATATCCCTTTGAATTCTTAGTGAACAAATAGGATAATATAATTTAATAGAGGATTCAGAAGATAAATATTGTGATGAGGTTAATATATTTACAAGTAATATACTGAAAATAAAGTGTTTTGCACAAGTAAAATGGTCAGCGGTTCTTGTAACATGGGTTATTGGATGACTCTGGACTTTTTCAGCAAGAGCTATATTTCATGCAAAGAAGTATTTTGGTGAACTATATGAATATTTAACAAGAAAAGGAGCCCCAGCACAACCTTGAAAAAATAAATGGAAGGCTATTGGTTCTATGAGTTGTTGGATTGTGCTTTACCTTGGCTGGGTTCAGATCATTATTGTTTAGTACATGTAGTTTTCAAAGGTTTCTCTCTAACAATACTCAAAATGTTAGGTGGATTGTTTTTATTTTAGCAGTTGTTTGTGTTCTTTGTTGAAAATAAAGATTACACATAACCCTATTTCCTTCTAGTCATTTAATGTATATATTTAATTTATGATTATATTGTATATATAGTCTTATACATTGTTTTTGTTACTTAACATTCTTTGTAAATATTTTTTGATATAAATTTGTTCTAAAACATCTTTCATGACCCTATTTTTATTCTTTAAATACTGTAATTTAGTTAACCTTTAACTGTTGGAAATTTAGGTTGCATCCAAATTTTTCAGTTAGGGGCCAGGGTTTTAGCTTAGTGGCACAGCGTCTGCCTGGCAACCTTGAGGTCCTGAGTTTGATTCCTGGTACCAAAAAAAAGGACAAAATTTCATGTATAAATAACACTGAATATTTATATAAAGAAACTCATTGATAATATCATGAAGTTTTCTTTTCTCTTTTCTTTTTTTGCAGTGCCTTTCACACTGAGCTACATCTCCAGTTTTTTAAAAAATTTGAGACAAGGTCTTGCTAACTTGCCTAGGCTGGGCTTGAACTTGTGATTCTCTTGCCTCAGCTTCCCAGTGTGCTGGAATTACAGGCATACTGCCATGGCTGGTTCATAGATATTTCTTTAGGCTAAATTCTTAGATGTGAATTATTGGGGTAAGGGGTATAAGAATTTTTCAGGTTCTGAGTACATTTTATTCACTTGCTTTTCAGAAAAGTGTACCAATGTATGCTCCTATTAGTAGCGGAGTCTGAAGATTACCATTTCATTGCATTCACCCCAGGAAAGACCTATGCTTAATTCTTAATTCTTTTTTGGGGGGTTGTTTTTTGTTTTTTGTTTTGGTACCAGGAATTGAACTCACAATCTCATGTTTGCTAGGTAGGCGCTGTGCCGCTGAGCTATATCCCCAGCCCTCTTAATTCTCAAAGTTCTTTGTTTTTTAATTTTAATGCAGCATGCCAATAAAATTCTTATCAAACATTAATTTTAGATGATTGACAAAGATCCTTTCTCATTTTGTGAGAGATTAGGGGGAAACCCCTGCATTTGAGGTTTTAAAACTCTATACCCAGGCGGGAAGGGTATAGAGGAAAGTAGATCTTCATCTACTTCCGGTGTGAACCATAAAATGGCACAGACACTGTGGGGAAGAGTTTGGTACTGTCAAAAATTTAAACACATATTACCATATGATTGACAATCCCACGTCCATGAATAAGAGAATTGAAAACGAGTGCACACAAAAACTGGAATAGGAATGTTCATAGTAATATTGTTTATATTGACCAAAATTAAAACAATTCAATCGCCCATCAGCTGATGAAGACAAAGTAAAATTTGCTATATCCATACAATGAAATGTTATTTGGAAAAAAAAAAAAGGAATGAAGTTTGATGCACGGATGAACCTTGGAAACATCATGCTAAGTAAAGCAAGTCAGACACAAAAGACCACATATTACAGGATTTCACTAAGTGAAATGCTCAGAATGGGGAATCTACAGAAACAGAGAGTAGATTAATAGTCATTGAGTATTGGGAGAGGTGGGGAAGTTGGTGGGTGGCAGATAAAGGGTACAAGATTTCTTTGGGGGGTAAAAAATGTCCTAAAACTGATGATTGTAGAACTCTATGTATATATTAAAAACCATTTAGACATTTTATATGAGTGAATTGTATAGTATGTGAATTATAGCTTAAAAGGCTGTTATAAAAAAATCCAGCTGGGTGTAGGCCTGTAATCCCAGGACTCAGGAGACTGAGGGAAGAGGATTGCTGTGAGTTCAAGGCCAGCCTGGGCTACAAAGTGAGTTCAAGGCCAGCCTGAACTGTAGAGTAAAACCCTGCCTCAAAAAAAGGACAAAAAAAAAAAAA